ATCAGCTCTCGTATGTTTTGAGTTCTTAGAGAGCACTCTCATTGGCTTCTCAGTGCCTCCACTCATTTGCATAACTTTCAATCTAGACTTTTAGTACGTGGAATTGGCTTGACCTTCATATAAATACCTCCTTTCGAACTAATATGATGTCAATTCACATGCCCCACGACCAAATTGACAATTTTCAATATTTTTCCAAGCTCTCGTATGTTTTGAGTTCTTAGAGAGCACTCTCGCTGGCTTCTCAGTGTCTCCACTCATTTTCATAACTTTCAATCGTGACTTTTTCAAATATATTGAATTCGCTCAAAAACATTTTTTTTTTGTTGCGGCAACTCATTTCGCTGTTCTTAGCATTAGAAGGCAGCGAATTCCTTTTGACAGTTGGTTGCTATTGCACACTCGTAATAAATTACGTCATTTCTTTTATTCAATTTGTTGTACAACACGTCTTTGGCAAGATTCAATGTGGAAGCATCATAAATAAAGACATATTTTCGTCGAAATAATACTTTGTAGCTTTAAACTTACTGCAAACTTCTCGTTATTCGCATAAGAGCATTTCATATTATTGGAATCTATTTATCAAATCGTAAGTAAGGTAAGAATACGTGCGGCTATCTAAAATAACGTAAAAAGGCGTCAATTGCGCCTATAACTAACATTTGCATATATTTGCAACAAGCTCTGATTCTGACAGTCTGAATTACCGTATTTTATACGCATTAAGCACCTTTCAATGGAAGATATAGACTAGTTGGCTCATGAAGTGGCCTGAGAGTAGATGTTTGTCTTCATTATTGCTAATCAATAAATTTTGTTTTGGTTGTATTCTATTTTAATTTAGTTACGGTTCCGAAAATGATGAGCTGGAGAGAAGAGATAAGCCAAATGCTTATTTCATTCGAATGCCAAGCTAAATTTTCTCTGGGCAACATTAAACAGGCCCTCAAACGCAATGGTCTGGCGTTCAATGCTGATTTCAAGCAATATTTTTTGCGTGTTTCGTATGTTCGGTGAGTAGAAAACAATAATTTCCATAATTTTGCAATAATAATTCCTTATTGATAATTGTGTGCAGGATCAAGTATGTATACGATAGACTCAGCCATAGACTAGTGGTTAGCGTGCCAGGTTTGTGAGCGTGAGGACACGAGTTCGATTCTCGGTCAAATTTGGTCCGGTATTTTTCCACCGTGATTCGCTCAGGAATTATCAGTGGTTTTATGCGGAATAGATTTGGCCGGGTTTCGGGCTAGTGGAGTGCTTCGGAGGGCACTTAAAGCCGTCGGTCCCGTGTGTGTGCACAAAGAATAATGGGTTCAGCATAGACACACGTAAAAGGGAGTGCCTTTACGTTAGGTTGGTGTCTTGGATATGTCAAATATCCAATACGTCAACCGTAAAAAGGTAGTGCGACATCTCTGGTGAATATACCGGTAAACCAGCGATATGTGCATTCCTCCATTGAAATAAGAAGAGCCCAACGCCATCTAGGAATGAATGGAATACTTGTGACTGTCACGACAATTGACTTGAGAAGAAAGCCCTGGTCACTGGCCCTGTACGGAGGCTAGTTACATGGCTGCTATAAAGTGGGCCACACCGTGGGAAGCATTCTCCAAGCAATCGAGTGACAGCACAAGTCGGGTCGTCATGCAATAAGTTACGAAACTTGAGCATCGAAGTGAATAACTCCCCGTTTAATCCAATAATCCAATAATCCAATGTATACGATGAATTCGAAATCAGTTCAATATTTGAGGATGCGAGCACTTCATCAACTGACGAATATCCGAATTTATTTCATACTCCAAGGTATGACATGAATGATATCGAACAAACAACCAATGACCGATTTGAAATCATTGACTCGAGCGACGAAGAGGATCAACCATCGAAAATAGAACGTGTTTGTCGGTACGATGAGCATGGCATATCACATGAATCCAACGATTATGCTGAATTTGACGACGATGAAAGCTTCCCCGAAAGGTCTGACATGAAATCGAACGGTTTTAATTATCAGGACGATGGCATTCCGATAGTTGCCATCGATGCGCTCCGTGCTATGAACATAATGGGCCAAAAAAACATCAACTGAAACTTTGAGCAATGAAGCAAACAAAGTCGTTGGTGCCGAAAGAAACTACATGACAGGAAGATCTGGTCGACGGGAAAGAAAACATGTTGAATCGGGGTCGACTTCAAAATCATTGCGAAGTAAAACCTGTACTTCATCAAACCAAATTGGGATGAAGAAGCGATTCCAGTGCGAATTTTGTGAATATTCCAGCAATCGCAAGTGGGACCTCAAGAATCACGCGCGTGTTCACACCGGCGAGAAGCCATATCGATGTGATATTTGCCCCAAAGACTTCACAAGTATGCAGAACCTGAAGAATCACAAAGCATCTCACATAAATGAATTTCCGTTCCATTGCCGAAGTTGTTTCAATGGATTTTTGCAGAACGCCGATAAAGATGACCACGAAAAAATGTGCAAAATGCATCGATATGAATGTCATATCTGCAAGAAGTGTGTAACTTTGAGTATAGCTAATTTGAAAAGGCATATGCGAAAGCACAATGGTGAAAAACCGTATCGATGCGAGATTTGTATGATGCGTTTTACACGCAAACATAGTCTGAAAACACATTTGAATAACATACACACTAGAATCGATCCATGAATTCAATCATTCAATGTCATTACATTCATCGACATATTCGTTATCTTTTTAACGATTGTCGCAATAACAATGCTAAGACCTTCTTTTAAAATTATATTAACTGAATATAAATAAAAATTTGGAATCCAGAAAAATTGGATTTTTAATTTGTTCATGACACCGAACAGAGCTCCATCAGTTTTAAGTATTGGGAGATTATTTTATTTTGAACAGAAATATACGTAAGTTGGATTTCAATTACAAATTGTCAATCATTTTCTCAATTCGAATGTAACGTTCGATTACACCAAAACATATTCAAAAATCGCAACAAAGAATTGAATTCGTCGCAAAAGAGTTTGGAGAAAAACTATTTTGACAGATCATGCCATCTCTCCAACTATTGTCATTCTCATTACACGTTATCTCATATACGCGTTTTTCACTGAATTTCCTTACCTCACGATAAAAAATCGTCAAAAAACAATTAAAATCGCAATAAAACCAGAAAATACTTCTTGATTTAACTATTTACGATTTACTTGAGAACGAGTACCACTATCCAGATTAAATTTCTTATTTGTAGCTGATTTATTGGAAGAAATAATAGGTAAGAGTATACGAATAGCATAAACTTTTAATTTCAAAATTTTATACAGAGAATTTGTATCGCCGTATCTGTATGGACCATGTGTGATTGCTAATACCACCACAAAGTGAAAGAAATACAAAAATACGGCGCTACCATTAAAATATAAGACTACCATTAAATATATTTGACTAAATCCATTCGATTTTCGACGGCAATTAGCACAAATTCATTACAAGGAACGCTCTCAATAATTAACAATTGAAATATTTCACCCATTCGAATCAATATCTTGTACTGTCATCTATTCCTTTTTCTAACGTAGATGAATGCAACAACCATGGATTGGAGACACGAGATGCAGAAAATGCTTTTGGAATTTGAACGTCAGACAACGATTTCTTTGGGAAAAATCGAAATGGCATTCAAGTACAGTGGCTTATCGCTCAATGATGAATTTAAGCAATATTTTCTGCAGGCTTCAAACAACCGGTTAGTAAATAGGACGACAATCCAATTTAATTATCATATATTTATATTCATTCTTGTCAATTATTTGCAGCATCAAAGAAACTTATGATCAATTCAAAATAAATTCCATGTGGAAGGGCAATGTCCAATTTGGTCCGTATTCCCAAATGTTAAGAACTGATGACTCAGTCGAAATCATTGACTCAAGCGATGAAGAAGATCAGACAGAAAATCTGGTTAAAATGGAATCATCAGAAATGGTGTTTGGCATTCACAGCGATGGTCATGACACGCCATCTGAATTAAGCGATGATTTTGAAACTGAATATTATCGAAACTACACCGATGACATGCCATACATGAACCCGAAAGATATTAACTGGCGGAGAGATGTCTCAAGGAATAAACAAGGTTGCATCGAGAAGGAAATTGACAAGGTAATGAAAGCAGAAGAAATAGAAGAAGACGATGAAATTCCGTCAACTGCCTTCAATGGACGTCGCGACATTAGCTTGTTCAACGAACGTACATCTTCCATCCCTTTGAACAATAGATCAAACAGCGTAAATGATTCAAATAGAAACAACATGACAGGAAGATCCGGTGGTGGTCAAAGAAAACAGGCCGAATCGGGCTCAACTTCAAAATCATTGCGAAACAAAACATCGATTCCATCAAATCAATCGAAGATGAAGAAGCGATTCCAGTGCGAATTTTGTGAATATTCCAGCAATTACGCGGGAAACCTCAAGAAACACAAGCGTACTCACACCGGCGAGAAGCCGTATCGATGTGATATTTGCCACAAAGATTTTATCCAGTCAATTTGCATGAAACAGCATAAAGTGACTCACATCCAACAAGTTCCATTCCATTGCCGTGGCTGCTTCAGTGGATTTACCCAGAAGACCGACCACGAAGTCCATGAAAATGTGTGCAAATATCGTCGATATGAATGCCATATTTGCAAGAAATTTGTCACTGCGGGTAAAACTCGATTGAAAATGCATATGCGAAAGCATAACGGTGAAAAACCGTTCCGATGCGAGATTTGTATGATGCGTTTTACGCAAAAAGGTAATCTAAAAACACATTTGGACAACATTCACACTAAAAACAACCATTGAATTATCACACCTGTCTCACAACATCCACTTCCCATGTCCGTTAGCCTTTTTTTTTCGAACATCGAACCTGCGCTTTCATGGTAATTAAAACTTGATTAAAATCAATTTGAATTAATACAAATTTAACGAATTCCAGTTCAACACTGAAATGGATTGGTCCATTCCACTCTTTCAAATATTGTTAAATCAAATTATAAAATGGATTGCACTTTTTGCATGAACAATCACTTGTATTTTCATTATTTTCCCTATGTCGAACTTGAATAAATAAATAAAAAATACTTTTTTCTCCTCCAAAGCTGAGTAAAACTCTTCATAATGCGAAGTTCGTAGCAAAGACAATTTATACTTAACCTCTCCCTCCAATTTACTTTGCGTGTACTTAAGACTATCTACATCCAATTCTCATTGGAATCTGTGCTGCTTTCTACTCATATCTTCCTCACGTACATCAAGTACAAACCAAGACGCAAACCCACATGAATTTGGAATGAAAGAGAGAAAACGAAAGTCTGTGTCAATTGAATTTGACACTTCAGCTGTCATTTCATTGTGTTTATTACATTGTGTACCAGAAACGTGTGTTTTTACTTTATTTTCTTTAGTTTTATCTTAAAATTTAGTAAAAATTCACTTTATTATTTAAAATTGCGTGAAAATTTTGTTAACCACCATGGAAACAATTGAAAATATGTGCAAAACAAAAGAAAATTCGACAGCTGACGACGATGAAGGAAATGTTTGGAACGACTTTATTGGAATTGCTGCCGATCCACCGGATAAACGGAAAATATGTGAATACTGTCGGTAAGTAATAATTTGAATGTCAATTTTGAAAATATATGAACATTTTGTTTATTCGGCAGTCGTCCAGAGGTTGTGTGTTGGTGTTCTTCGGTACCATCGCCACCGCTATGCAGTCGTTCTCGTATTGTGATACTTCAACACCCAGCGGAACAAAAACGGTGCCTACGCACGGCTCCGATGCTATCACTGGGTCTGGAATCGGGGAAGTGCTTAGTTTTTAGGTAAATTTATTGATTTTGCCATCGCCTCTTCTTTCCGTTCAATTTTTCGGAGGTTTTAAATCTTTTTATTTCTTTTATTCCACTAAATTCTCGTCTTTTCTTCATAACAGAGGTAAACGGTTCCCACAACAGCGGCACGTCGAAGGCGATGTCAGCTTAGATTCGATAATGACGGCCAAAAACACACTGTTACTGTACCCAAGTAAAAATTCAATTCCAATGGAAGAATTGGATGCCTCCGATGGCCCATTCAATTTGATATTATTGGATGGCACATGGCCGCAGGCCAAAGGTATCTACGCCACATCTCCGTTACTTCAAAAAATGCGACAAGTTCGATTGGTCATGACACGCATCAGTACGTATGTCATTCGAACGCAACCGATGGAAGGTTGTTTAAGCACATTGGAAACGGCAGCCGAAGCTCTATCTATTCTTGAAAATGATGACCGGTTTCGCGAAGAATTGATTCGACCATTGCAAACATTGTGCGAATTTCAAATTGCAAACGGAGCCGTCGAACACCAATCGAAAGAATATTTAATTAAACACAATCAGTACAATAAAATCATTGGCAAATGATTGAACAGATTGCTGCGGGCGGCCAATTGCTCAAAAACCAACGAAAAAGCAAATAATAATGAACACGATAACGATGGAGATGATGACTTGTGATGAACACACCAATAATACATTGAGTGACAACAAACTCGAGAGAGAGAAAATCCAATTTGTGAATCAATAGAGATTTATTGATAATAAGAGACTATTTTAGTTTAAATATTTTATTAGCTAATTTAAACAAGTCCGTGCTGGACGATAATCATGTATTGAAATGAAAATAAATCGAAAAATTAATTGGACATTTTTTTCACTTTTTGGATATATTCATTCTTGTAAAAAACGTTTCTTTTGTAATCTTTTAATCGTCAGAATTATAAGTATGCTTTGGGCGTCAAAACACCGAACTGGTTATCGGGTCCAGATCGATTTATAAACAATTTTATTTCAGAATTCAAAGCAATTTTGAATCTATGCGTTTCGGATACAAAGATTTTGTTGGTGAACAAATGGTAAGTAACAAAACTGAATTACGGACAGCAACAAATCAATTGCCCAAATTTTATTTACTCTAAATTAAAACGAAGGTTTTTATTGAAAAAAGTAAAAATTGCACCAATTCGTAATTTTACCACACACGCGCCGATTTTTTTGGCAAATGTATTTTTAATCCAATTTATGCTGATTTTTGACCCACAATTTACTATTAAATTGATGTAATCTAAATCAATTTTCGATCTATGCCAATCCAATGTCAACCCTGGTGTAATAAAATTGCCTGATTTTTTAATGTAAATCGACCAAAAATACTAATACTTTAATTATTTCAATTTCAGATATTTTTTTTTGAAATCGAATTTCAATTTATTCTGAATTTCAATTCGAATTCGTTAAATAATAATTTTTCAAATTATTTAATTTGGTCGATAATTGAGCCAATCACCCGAAATCGAAGCAGTCACTTTTTAGAAGGGACCCAACAATTATTGACAAATTTATGCTATTCACGTACATTAGCCAATTTGTACTACTGCACCAATGGCTCTTCCAATGTTTTACTTAAAAAATCAATCACGATTTTTTATGTTTTCTACATGGCACGTACCAGCTTCGAATATTTTAGTTTGCAGCTACCTATGGCGAGTGGTTATCAAAATCACTATAAAAGCCAAAATTGATTTGAGAAATGTATCAGTTTTTGTTTATCATTTCAATAAGCCAAACAAATTAAAAATGTATAAATTCGTAAGTGCTTGTTACATCTCTGAAGTGCTTACAATATTTTTTAAAATTTATTAAATAAAAAATTACTAAATATAAAATAAAACAAATAATTTTATTTAATAAAATAATATTAATTTTCTGTTCTTTTAAAAGTTCTTCTTCGTATTTTTGGCCATTGCCTGCGTTTGTGCCAAGCCAAAGCCAGATTTGATTGCATACAGTGCTCCAGTTGTAGCCGCCGCCCCATTGGCTCCATTGGCCACAAGCAGTCAATATGTCGCACGTGAGTTTAGACGAAAATATAACAAATCGATACAAATATTTTTATAGCAAAATTTTGAATCAATTAATTTTTTAATTGTTGTATAATAGGTAGCACATCTCCATTTGTATCATATCCCTATGTTGCTGCCTATTCAACACCGTATGTAGCTGCCGCTTCTCCATACGCCGCTTATGCACCGACCGTTCTTTTGTAAATTCTTGTGATAACCAGACAACAAAATAGTTCTTTGTGAATACACAAATTATGAAAATTGGCTGCCGTGGAATAAAGAACTCAATAACATCAAAAAAAAAAATGTGTTTAACTTTGTGTAGCATTTTTTCCACCTTAGAGCCATTCAATTTTCCGAGTGACGGTCAATATCGAATTTTAATCGATTTGAAGAGAATTCCTCCAAGGTTCATCAAAGAGTCGTTTAGAAGCTTTGTCTCCTTATCAGGAGTCGTTTCCGACTTTGTAGTAGTACATACACCAAACGACAGTAACTGAGTGGCGATGTCGTGCTCTGGAAAATACCTATTTTCGTTACTGACGTCATTTCCCACATTAAATTGAAAATACAGATGGTGAAACAAAAAAAACGCTCTTATCAATCAAAACGTGTCACCCTATTTTCGGTCGTTTCGAAGCTTTTTTTGGTTGACTCAAGAGTTGACGCTTCAAATATGTATATATCAAAATAAATATTTTTGTTTACAGTTTCAAGTAATTTATATTATTTCGTCACTTTCTCTGTTATTATCTTTCTGTTTTTATTATAAAGCATTATGAAACCAAACGCATCCAATCGTTCCATTCTCACTTCGAAAACAATTTATTTTTCTGTGATATCCCAGTGACACCACGAAATTCAAAAAACTACGTTATTTTTTCCCAAAACCTCGAAAACTTTCTCTCTAGTGTCAAATAGAGTGTCGCGGTTCGATATGAATCCATAAACCGACGTAATATGTCAAATCGACCATGTGCGAATGAGTACAAGCAAATGCTGTGTGTCATGCTTGCGGCAATGTGCTCGCTCCGCCGCTACTATTCAACTCTTTGTAGTACACATTACGCTAGTTCAATTTTTGTTTACAAACATACGAAGACCGCGTTGAAAGCGTTGTGAGTACATTGAGTGTGTTATATTTTTCTCCTTCACTCACTAACAACATCAATGGATATTGGCCTGTGCTCGCGCGCTCGCTCTCTATTTCTGCGTTGCTCTCTTCAGCTCACATTTGAAATATGCTTTGTACGTTTTTCCAATTGGTAAGCGGCAAAACTGTTTATAGCATAGCTATAGAAAAGCATCATCGGAATCGGTTAGTCGAGTGTGCGATCTAATCGAAGCACCATCCACATTCATTCGTGTTCGTGATTCAGTTAGAAATTTATCGTATATCGCGCGTAACATACACGCACACACAACATTTCGTAAACAGAGACAAGAGTGTATTTTTGGATTTTTATTATTTTAAATACCAATTAAATGGGTGAACTTTTTGGTTTCTAGTCGATTTTTGTGAGTGACAGATGATGTGATAATATTGGCTTTGAGGAATTTTGAAATGTTTTGTTTTTAGTTCGTGATTTTCTGGTGTTGGGGCAGGTTTTGAACGTGCTTGGCAATGACATTTTACTGCAGATGCTCTGCGGATGAATTTGGAGTGGTTTTTATGAACAAGGCAGTTGATTTTGATGTAGGTTTTGATTACGAGAAAAATCCATATTTTGCGATGGATTTTATACTGGAAATGATGGTATTTATGTCGCAACTTGACAAATCTGTGACAATTATTTGCTTCGTCGAAATGCTCGGAGTTTTTTGAATAAAATTCTGGTTTTTCTGTGAGTGGACACGAGTTTTTTGTTTAAATTTGAGAAATTCAGCTCAAATTTGGAATGTTTTTTGGTATTTTTTGAATTTTTTGTATGGAACCCCATGCTACCTCTTCCATTTAAAGGTCCCACGTTACTTCTTTCATTAAAAGTTCATTAAAAGAAAGACCCGTGTTACTTGAAGACCCCATGCAAAAAATCCCGTTCAAAACCTCATTTCCTCGAGTTTCAGCGTAAAAACTCAATTTTTTCGTTAAAATGTTCCGCATTTTTTTTTCGAGAGTACTTGATTTTTCCGGATTTTTCGTCATCCAAATTGAATCAAGAATTTTCAATGAAAATTCCTGCATGTTCGTCAAAAATGCCTCTTCAGTCGCTTATCTGAACATTTTTCCATTCCTATATTTGTTGTTTTCTAATCTTCATCAACCACTTTTGATGATAAAAACAATTTCGTTCCAAAAATACACGCGCTTCAATATGTTCGCTATTCAAATTCGATAAATGTTCGTATCCATCATTGAAATGTTCAGCATCAAAAACTGTCTTTGTCAATTTATAAATCAATTTCAATTACAAAATCCTCATGCAAATAAATCGAAAAGAGAAAAAAAACAACTGTGCATGTTTCGGTCATTTTCGTTGAAAATGACATATTATTATGCGTAATACATGCATGATGAAACGTCGATCGATTATTTTGAATGACATGCGTTCAATTCAGGCAAAGTGCTCATCTCTAAATTCCCTATATGCCCCCCTTCTCATCAGCAATGCCACGAAAAAATGATTATTATATTATGTTTGTGTGTGCAAATGGCGTTGTTTGTTGATTGCATTTAATTGAAGTGACTATAATCATTGTGATGATGTGTGTAATCTGTAAAATGATGATAAAATCGATAGAGCTCGAGTGGAGAATAGTTGTTACCCACACACACATCCACAATTCCCCATTGTCTCGAATATAATATTCAAAATTGATTGAGTGTAATGCTTCTCATAACACTCCACAGCTGATTCATTCGAATATTGTCATTGCGTGTTGAAAATCTATTGTTTCATTTAATTCAAGACCGAAACTAATTAATCAGCTATGAGCCCGAAAAAAAAACACTATGTGGTCTATGTGAAAACCTTAGCAACAGATTTCAAACGAAGCATATACCGAAAAATTGTCTAAGGTCGTAACGCAAATTTTGGCATTTGGCCTAGACCTTTGCATACATTCACTGTTTTCAAACAGCGATGTTTATCGCATATATTTTAAAATTAAATGCGAACGAAACAGCTGAATACAATGCACAAATCGAAGGTTTTCGAAAGGCAAATACAAAGAAACTCATCCGAAAATTTGCTTAAAATCTAATCTTCTTATGGCGAAAAGAGTTTCTTCTTGTTGGTTTGGGTATCGGTTTCATTGGTCAACCCAAAACGATACATGAATCCTCTTCGTTTTGCAAAAAAAAATCTTTCATTTATTGAGTGAAAATATTCCGACATACACAGAGAGAGACAGAGAGAAGAACGAGCTGACAATTCCATGACGTAATGCAATGTAGAATCTTTACAATCGTGCTTGAAAACATAGCCCCCGGAACGTTGTAAATTGTGTGCGATGACAAAATAAAAATAATGCCGATTAAGTGAGAAGAACGTAGAGCAAAAACAACAAAAAACCAAATGGAAAAAAATGTAGATAAAAATTTCACAGCTGGTTTTCATACTCTAAGCCAAAGCGCGATGAGAAGACGATTTTAAATAAAAGAAACAAGCTTGAAAAACGGGTTTTTTGCTTTCGCTATATTGAATCGCATATAATCGACTAGCCGACACACAACACGCTCTATTGCTGCATAGTGTATCGTTTGATGCGGGTTTGAGAGCTCAGGCATGCATATGTGGTGTTGTTGTCACATTTTTAGATGGAATAAAACCGGCGGCGGCATTGCAAACGCTCGTTTATTGTATATCAATATCAAGTCGCTGCATATATCAATGCAAAATGACACGAGCGTTGCTTACACTGCCTCTTGCTTTACCTCTTTACACCTCGTTCTTTTTTTATTTTTCGTCTCTTCCTCTTCACTTTATCTCCCTTTTTGTTCCTCTCTCTCTCTCTCTCTCTCTCTCTGTGCCTCTCTGCCTCTTCAGATTGCAATTCTCAAAAGTAGAGAGCGAGAGAGACCGAGAGAGAGCAAGAAAGAGAGAGAGAAAGAACGTATGTTGTAATAAAAAATGTGCGGTTTTGTTTTGATGCACTGCACACCGACCTGAAAATCATAGACAAAGCCCCCGCACATATAAAAATCACGTTCGAAATGCCAGCCAACACGTTCATCGCATCAAAATCGAAACAAATACACGGCACATTGATATTGATCAATGGAACGGAATCTTTACTCATTTGAAATTACTTTGTTACACGTATAGAAAACACCGAACGGCAACAACGGTCACAGCATTGAATTGACGCGCATTTGCGATAGGGAAGATAAATATGTTTTAACGCGCGAAACAAAGTAAAAGAAGAAGCAAAAAAAACGCGTAAACTTGATATAAAAAGACTAGATACGGTGTCGGTTGAGAGTTATTAAGTGTAATTGTAGCATATTTAAATCGAATTATATTGAAATTTACATTGTTAAAACACGACCGGCGACAGTGACAATTTTTTCGTGTAAATACATAAAGAGAAGATAACACTAAAGTAAGCAAACGAGTACGCGTTTTACGGGGTACGGGCTCAAGGAAAAACGAACACGCACAATCGAAAACCGCACCGAATCCATGAGCACAGCTTTGACCAAATAAAACACACATTTGCCTCTGTTAAAACAGCTGATCGCCAATGGCAACCATCGATTCAGGTATGTTTTTCTTCACACTCTTTGTTTTTTTTTTTGTTCTGCTTCCATCTGTTGTTTATTATGAACGCCGTCTTTGTTTGGGTACCAATTTCGGATGTTATTTACATATCGAAACGTTCGATCGAGCAAAAAAAAAATAATAATATTATTTTTGCGAGAAAGTTTGATATTCCATAAAAAGAATAAAATATGTTTTACTCACAAAAAAAATCATGCCGCATATGGATCGAAATATAAATGGACCGCAGAGTACGAATGAAGAAAAGATAGATATATAAAATTGACTCTGCAAATGACAGCGTATTTTTGTTTGTTTGGCAACGCATCAATCAAATAGAAGAAACATAAAAAAGAGAGAAAAGTGGGGAGCGAGGCATGGCGAGAGAATGAGAAGAACCGACACATACGCGCACAACGAGAGAAAAAGAGATTGGGAGATAGCGAGAAAGAGTCAATGGAAGAGAGGAAGAGAGGGAAGGGAGAGAGAAATAGAGAATATAGAAGCGAAAAGGCAAAAAGAGTAAAACAGAGTGCACGAGTGCGAAAAAACGCGAACACGCTAAAATTCCTTAAAAGAGCAAACAATGTTTCAATGACTGAATAAAGAAGACGTACGAACGTTCCTTCGCTTATTTTTCTCATTTTCTTTTATTGTAAAACGGAAACGAAATAAAAAAAATGTTTTGATTTCGTTTTTCGTTGTGCTATAAATGAACGAAAATAACTTGGAGCACAACCAAACATTTGTTAACCGTAACTACGGATAAGCGTATCAATTTGTTTGCTTCCTTTGTTGACGTTCTCCGGATTGACAATGCGATTGGATAAACTAAATTGAACTGGAGAAAGCGAGTATTGCGATGAGACAATCTGTTCGATGTTGGTGTGTTGTTGCGGGCACACTCAGTCGTTGACAAGCAGCTAACAAAACCAGATTATGTGCATTAAATGGATTTGTATTTTGAATCATAACGATAACGGTAACAATGAATCACATTATTCGGTTTGTTGCTAAGGTGGTTGCTGTTATATTGCGTGTTCGATTCGATTGCTGTACACAAACTGTTCCGCTCCTGACATTTCACGCACAATGCTAATGTATATATTTTGAAGTTGGTTATTCAAAAGAGTATATCATTCTGTTGTTTCTATTGTAAAATAATAATAATAATATTTCTCAATAGATTTGGACTCGGTTTCAATTTCTCACCATCAGACACCTGAGTGACAAACTCCATTTTCACACAAATGCTTTACGTGCAAATATATTCACTTTGATGGACTTATTTAAGATCGTTGGTGATGCCATAAATTCAATTCTAAATCTCTCTCTTTAGGTTCCCAAATTTCAGTCTACATGTTTTTCTTTCTATTCCTTCCCTTTCCCCCTCCCTCTGTCTCCCTTCCACTCTCCCTTTTCCATATCTCCCTCTCCCTCTCTCTATCTCTTCCTTTCTCTCTCTATCTCTGTCTCTCTTTCCGTATATTTAACCCCGGCCGCATTTTTGGCAAACAATTTATGTGCTCGCTTTAGCTGATTTACAACCATTGAAGTGTTTTTCCCTCTTTCCATTGCTGCCACTTGCTCATGCCTATGCCAACTCCGTTGAACAGTGGTTTGACATATGTGCTAGTCGTTTATTGCATTACCAAAAAGCATGCGGGTATGTTCTTCTTAATGATTTGTTTTTCGCTTCGTTTCTTAACATTTGCACTTTTGTTCACCGAACTTTGTGTGAACGACACTGACGTTTATGTAAAGAAGCAGGCAGGAGAGAGCGTGCGAGAGCGAGATACAGAGAGTGAAATAACTTTCGAAAATAGGTCATCTGTATAATCCTTGCCGAAAATGTTGACGAAATGCTTTAATTTCGCTCTAATTGAACACGAAAACATCGTTAAAACTGGAAAATAATTAACGAATTAAACTGCGTCATTTGACTACATCCAAATCGATTTTTACTATATAATTCCATGGAAAAAAATGTGTTATTTTCATATTTTTTTTATCTTCGATCGAAAGCAGGAAAGCTTTTTTGCGTGTTCTTTTATTATTTTTTCCAACAAATTGTGAATCAATACGTCACTGTGAAGTATTTCCATGAACCGTTCCGAAAACGGTCAGTATATAAATATATCTGAAAAGTGTAAACAAAAAGGTAAAAATGCGTGTCAGCGCATATTTGTTATAGCTTCAACAGCTTTTCCAACAAATCGGTCAATCAGTCGAACAAATACTCGAAACATTTGTAATCATGTAAACAAATACAATATATAAATAAAACATTTCGCTCTCTCTCTGTGTATGCTCACACGATAAATTCGCATTTCGCACATACTCATTTCATAAATGATAGCGAATTTATTGATTGAACTTGTTTGGCATGCTTTTCGTATCAATTTTTTTTCTAATTGTACGGAGACTGGAGAGAGGCCATTCATATTTTTGGTGAACGAAATGAAGACACCATCGCCGGATTTATTGGGCCATAACAAATGTGTAATAAATTATTTGACTGACACGCACAGAGACACCACACTATAGAACGTGCCGATTCAATGTGTGGTAATTACATGGCATTCGAATCAAACACACTCAAATGGTGGAGATCGGAATCATATGCACAACATTCGATTGTGAGTTATTTCATTGTCCTGACACACATATTTTCACACAAATATCTTTCGTTCATTCCTTCGGGGTTTCACATACATCATTCGACAAATGATACACACACATTCCTCTAGAGAAATATTGGAGGTGGAGAAATGGAAACGAACCATGTTCGTCTATTAAAACATTAAAATTGCCATTTTTGATGGCGTCGTGCAAAGCATTACTTCGCTTTTTAAATGGACTGGAACAACCGCAAACAAGCAATCATTGGGAACTGTGCCAAAACATGCAAAATCGCTTTTTTCTCTGTTTCTCATTATAAAACCGACGTGTTCATTCGGGGGGGTGTAAAAATGAGCATGGTGTACGAAATTCAGTAATTTTGGGTTGGTTTCAAGTTTCATGAATTCGGAAGATGAAACTTTTACAATACGGACACGATTTTTTTTCTCTCTCAATGGAGTACTGTAACGAATCTTTACAGCAGGCGAAAAAAAATACAAATTATCCTAAATTTGGATCAGCATCAAAAAACAAACACCATTATCATGAAGCCCAGAGTGTGCCATAATATCAATGAAATGCAAATCGCTCATTGTCTTCACTTTTATACACATTTTATTGATTACTTCATGCGCGCACTTTTCTCTCTCCACTGTCCCCTCTGTCCTCTTTATCTCCCTCTCTATCTCTCTTTCTCACTCTCTCTATCTCCCACTCTCTCGCTCTATTTCAATTGATTTCATACAACATTAAAAATTCAGGCGCGTGCTGAAAATTCAGACTTTTTGTCTCTCGCGCCCATGTGTATTTGTGTATTTTCATTTTGAAAGCTGGCATTCTTTTACGGCCCATTAAAATTTAAAATGAATACCGAACATGTTTTGGTATTTGACGTTAAGCACTTTTTTTTGAACGTATTACGCCGAGTTGTAAACGAACCACGAATTCAACTGGATTTCCTTGGTACTATGTCCAATCGATTTTTCGAATAATGAATTGAAAAAAACTCCTTCCAAAAAAACGTTTTTTTATGCTTTACTCCGATTGACTCTGGCTTAGTTGCCATTAAATCGTTGATTTTATCGTTAAACTCTAATCGGTCAAACACCCGAACGCTGACACTTAGGTCGAAAATGGAAAACATCTGTTGATTTTGATAACAATAAAAACAGATCGATTTTCACCATTCGTTCGTGTTTCGATTTTTGGCATACCGACCTTTATACATGTAAAGCGAAATGAGAGTGTGTTGTGCTCTTCAACTGTTGTCAGGTTACACGTCGAAAAAAAAATCGATGCCACACGCTCCATGGTTTTGTTTTCCTCTTTCCGTAAAGTTGTGTCAAAATTTCAACACAACACCCTTTACGTTGGAAGGGTATGCTGTCATCATATCACATTTTTCAAAAGCTTATAAACACATACATCGACAGTTGCTAAGTGGGTACATCTTAAAGCTATTACAACCAAACACGTCTCCCATTTCGGCAATCTCTACTATTCCAACTTAATGAATATTTATGAAGACGAAAATGTGATATGTGGCATAAAAAGTTGGCCGCCTATTTTGAATCAAACCAGAAAAAAAACTGCGATGAAGAAAAATGAAACACGACGACATACAAAAATGAAACAGACCTTCGTTCGATATTTTATATATATGCATTTTTTTAAGTCTTGGCGATGTGTGTCAAAATAAATTACCATTATTTATAATTCAACGAAGGGAAAACACGTGTTCAGAGTTCAATGCATGGTTCGTCGACAGAGTGGTTAAATACCATTTGATTCTGAAATCGAAATGTATGAACTGAGTCAATGTGAAAACAGTGCAGAAAGGTCACGTAATACACTTAAATCACTCACATTCATCATCAATCGATGGAAAAATACGGACTTGAAGTTCATTCGAAAAGGAAAACGGCGTTGAAAATTGGGATTTGAAGAAATCATACGTTTTGAACGGAACACTAAAAAAATCGTAAAATTCTCGGAAGTACGATTTTTTCGAGAAAAATGTTTCGGTAGACAATAAAGAAATATGAAATAAATCCATCCTCAAGGATATAAGGACGCTTTGACGTCATTCAATTTCTCGGCCCCTTTTTTCGCTTTTTTTTGTCATACAAACCCAAACAAAGATTTTTTTTAACATGGATACTTAAAGACGTCCGAAGTTTGTCTCTAATGCATGCGACAGTGTTGTATTTTATTTTGATATGCGTACTTCGTTCTTTTCTTTCTTGGCCAAAATCACATTTTCCAAGAAAATATTTGGACCAGAATAGATATATGGTTTTTGGGTGGCTTTACTATAAGGGTTCTCTTTAGGAAAAATCAACAAAACTGTTGAATAAAATGCGAGTGATTTTTTAAGTGT